GATCATCCTAAAGAAACGGTCAAAATACAACTTATTGAATTTTTATATCGGGCTTTTGTCAAACTTGTAATTAGGTTTAACAATTCAACATAAGTTTGAGTGCAGGCTAACATGATATATGAATAGGAGAACTCCAAGAAATGAACTCCATCATTTAACGTTTAAGAAAAGTGCTTTAGTGAATTTCCCTATCTGTTATACTTAACTTCCACTGTTATTTTTTTTTTTTTTCATTTTGTTACACAAAATAAGTAATAGCAAGTAGAAGTAAAAACATAATAAACAGATAAATAACATTAAATTAAAATTAGTAAACAGCTGGGAAAGTGACTGTGGCGGGGAAATCTCCGAGAAGCCAACGAGCTTAAAAATAATAGAGATTTCCCCCACCGGCGATTTAAATACTAGGCTTTCAAAAACACTGACGCGCCGTTTATATGGAGAAAACGTGTTTCGGGTAGGGTCACTCGCACCGTTTACACGAGAAGCACAAAGTTGGCGCGGCTAAAAGGGTGACCCACCTAGTCGGGCCACCCTTTTTCCATGATGTAGTCACCAACCTTACTGGGCTTATTTTTCTCCATAGCACTACTTTGGCGCACCGTACAGGGCCAACCTGATCAAGGCGAGGCAATCAGACCTTGGGCAAGCGCTATTTTCAGCTCTTGGCTCGCTAGGCAAAGGGTCGCTAAAGTTGACTGCGGTGATCCTATTTCCCAGGACAACGTTTCTGCACACAATGCAAATTGTTTGAGTAAGGGGTTTTCTCTTAAGTTTTTGAAAATTCTATTATAAAAAGGCCAAAAGTACCTCTTTCGGAGATCCAATATTTTCTTCACCCGCTTGCATATTTGGATTAACAACTCCATCAGAATCCATCCAAACCACGTAATACTTTGATCCAAATATCTCGCTTTGTGCGCAGCCTGCTTTTCCCGCCTTTTTCCAAACGATCTGCGTAAAGTCATGAAGTGTTTTCCCTGTCTTTGATTGGCTGGAAGCAAAGTCAAAACCCCTTTCCTTGTCATGCCAGTGTTTGATAACTGTCGTGAAATTCTGTAGTTCGTTCTTTACATCCCATTCAATAAGCTGGCCGTACTTGCCTCGAGATTTCATGTCGTATCCAAACGTTCCACCATCAGCCCATCTCTGTGCCTTGTCGGCGAGAAATTGAGAGAAGACAATTTTCTTTGCACGATGATTAAGGCGATACTTATTAATAACCTCGATGCACTCTTTTTGACAAGCTGAGTCGCAACCTGCCAAAAAAAGGAAAATTTTCTTTGACAAATGACAGAACCATGTACTAGTACAACAAATCCGAGTAACGAGAATTATAACCCTGACGCATGCAATAAGAAAGTAGATTACAGACACAATTAAAATTTACCACGATAAGATACAAATCTCAGCTAGTCAGGGACAAACGATTAAGTATTTTTAAGCGCGGTCGAGGAATTGAATTCGGGATTGCCTCGGAATTATCGAGGAACAAATCCAGATGGCGGTCCATTTTGGACTTGAGCTCGGGATCTCCAGATTGCAAGTTCAACATTTTTTCACCCTCTAGCCCGCTGCCTCTTTAGCACTAATCTCTTCCGCCTCCTGTTGTCTCCCTTGCTCCGGGAGGTTTTTCTCCGAGTACTCCGGCCCCCACTCCCCCGGCTTATAAAAAATCAACACTTCCAAATTCCTCAGTATTCAATCTGGAACGCAAGGGCACATTTAAACGAGTTTCTTAAGACCTCCTAACTGTTTCGTGAGCAAACAAATTTACAATTTTACAATTGCAAGTCTTAAATACAGATGCAATTTTAAGTAACAGACTTGAAGTAGTTAACCATCGATTTAAATTCAGAAAGAATACTTACCGCTTGTCGAACCAAACGATATTTTCTCTGAAATGACAAAAAATAATAATAAAAAACAGGATGAGTAAAGATTTTTAATAAAGAGTTTGGTTGAAACTGTCTTTCTCAAGTCAAAAAGTGAAGGTATCTATGGATACCAGCTTTATGGTTGAATGGGTCACCTCAATTTAAGTTACTTTCCCCTGCGTTAATCTTACCATTTTATTACTTCGACCAGACTTTCAAAACGCCTGTAAAGCAAACGTCTTTCTGCCACAGCGTTCAATATATATTTGACACCAGAGCTTAAACTGTTATGTTTCAAGACGGACAGAGTGTTATAATCGAGTACAAACAAACGACAATAGACGAAGTAAACTGTTAATACTATCTTGTAAATCGTGAGAAAAGAAGAATGTTGAATTCTTGGTCAACACGAGTGTTATTAGGGTGTTAGCAACTTTCTGTTAGAAGTTTGTTGAGAAGCTAGTATGTTGCAAAAGAAAACAATCGATTTTATTAGTTTTAAAACTGTAAGTATCTAACAATCATCTTACGTGCACAAACCCCTCCAATAAATTAAACCAGTTAAAGTATAAAAGAAAAAAAGGAAGAAGTAATTGTCGATTCGACGTTTAACATGGAAAATGGAAGATTTACCTGCATTTTGTTGCCTGATAATCAAGGAAATAATCACGACAATGAAGATAGCTGACATAATGTCTTCCTGAAAGTCCAACGAGCATACTAAACCTGGAGAAAATCGAGACCAAAACAGTTTTTGTCCGGGTATTCTCTTGGTGACTGTTTTTAGTACTACCAAGAATGTTTTCTTTTAGCATTAGCGGATAAAGTTAAAGTTCTGCTTGAATTAAGGGAAGACAAAGCAATAAACATGTCTGTGATGGCTTGACAAGATACTAAAACTATCATGTTCACTTACCATTTCGCTGCAAGGAATGTTAGAGTCTTAAGCGGACTGACTACTTCAACTAAGTTTCGAATACACAATTGTTTCCCAATAAATGACAATCAAAGTTACATTAACTTGAGGTTTTCTTTCAACCACATAAACGTTTCTTTTTCACTTCAGTGAATACTCCTCATTATTAATTAATCAGAAACAGGTCGACTCTTAAAAGAATCTTATATCTATGCCTATAGACCAGTCACTAACTAGGTGATAGTGTTTATGTAATGACCCATTGATCTCTTCACGCTACCGTAAGTTTCATTCTTTCTCTTGCTAGTTCTTTTCACAGCATATTCGGGTATGTTCGGGGGGACCAGGTGCGCTGGGCATTCACAGGTAAACTCAGGGGGGTTAGTTGTAGCAACACGAACTAGTCTGTTCTAATCTCCAAGGTACAAGTGCAGTCATGCAGTAAAGACAGCAAAAGGTGATACAGAAAACGCGCAGGGCTGATCGCGCGCGTGTTATTTTCGCTTGGCTTGTTTACTTTTTCGCGACGTCTTTTCTATCAGAGATCTTGACACAGAGTACCCAAGAACAGATCCAGAATATTTGTATTGTCCATAAAGTGAGTTTCCATTAAAACAATCATTCGAAATATAGTAATATTTATTACATGTACCATTTGTTACCTTGTATGTTGTGTGCATGTAGAAACGCAAAAAAGGGATTTTCTGAAAAAAAGAAGTGCAAGCGCCCTCATCAACAACCACGGCCTAAAGTAGTTACGACGGATAAAGCTCTTGCTCAGAGCATAAAGAATGCAAGTATTGACAAATCACATGGAGTACAACTGAACTTATCTCACGAATCAAGACAGATTCAAAAAACATTTATGATTCTGCTTTGAGTCTTTATGGGTACCTGCGAAAGTCGTTTACGTCGAGCGTTTTTCCTTCAAATCGTCGGTTTTCAGTAAATCTTCGTATATCAAGAATATTTTTGCGTGCTAACTCTACTGGCGAGCTCGAGCAACCACAACGACGACGAAGGAAGCATGAAAATAAAAACAGGCAACAGTTCTAATACGAAAAACAAAAACTCTGACCGTGCCTTCATTTTATTGGCAGATTTCTTTTCCATTATCGTACTTTAACGTTTTCTAGCACGATCAGGATGGCAATGGGATAGTCGCTTTAATCTCTATGTTCCTCGTTTCATCAACGGCAATCGTCGCACTTTGTTTTCGTTGGAAATACTCACAAAGAGCCTCTGATTCTGACCTGGCTATTTTTTATTATATCGAGTGTGATTATAGGAAGAGCGTGAATGAAAACCAGGCATACTTTGATGACGACCATAACAACGCAATTTATTTAAGTCGAACTCAATTCAGTTTGTTCGACAACTGTATAAATTCAATGTATATGCCTTTATACAAAACTACTTTTACTGAACCGTCTACAGCCAGACCTGTACTAGGTAGTTAACCTGAATAAAGACCTGAACCCCTTTTATGTGGAGAAAAGTTATCCCGGCTGAAAGGGTCACCCACCTACTCGAGTTACCCTGGGTGAGCCGACTTTTGACACTTTTCCTTCCAAAACCTGGCGAACCGTTTGCATGCAAAAAAAAAAAGTTGGCTCGGCTAGGAGAGTGAGGGTTTTGGTTGTAAGATAACCCTTCTAGAACGGCCAAGGTTTCCCTATAAATACGCAAACGCTCTGGCTCGCCCAGCCAAGTCAACTCGGTCTAGGCGAGACAATCAGAGCATGCGCTTGTGCTGTTTGCTCGGGCAATTGGGGTCAACTATTTTTTATAAATAAACGCTCGCAAAAGATGACTCGGCTGGGAGGGTGACTCTTTCCTGGCCAAGACAACTTCTCTCTCTCTCTAGTCTCAAAGAAAGTTCAATGGGCGTACATATGTTCGGGTGTTACCCACCCACTTTCTATGGGACCGGCCAATCGCTTCATTTTTTGCGACATTTGACTTGTTATTCAAGTACAATTAACAAGTATTGCAACCTTAACTTGCGAGGAATCAATTATTTACCACAAAAATAGTAGAACAAATTTACACGATGTCCGATTGCAATTTAATTTTCGCGGAAAAAGACGCTATACCAAAATGTACTCACAAAGAAAACCCGTCTTAAAATTACAAGAGAAAGTAATGTATTATTTTGTATCGGGAAAGGAGAATAGTTAAAGTAATGCATTGGATGTGATCAAGTTATGGAAATACTAGGAAATGGTTTTCACTGGCAATGGATGTCATTTCTTCTACTCGCCTGTGCAGTTCTTGCCTACAGAACATTGGGTAATACTGTCTTAGATTTCACTACTTTTATCGTGTATGTTTACACTTACTGACGACTTAATTTTCGATCTCTATATGTTCATTAGCCATGTCGCCCTCCTGCTAGCTACAAGTTAGTTTAGCTGAAATGACCCTTTGAACTCGTAAAACAGGATAGCTAAGACCCAGCTTTGAATGGATGCGGTACTGTACCTCTATTGTAGTCCTGTATTTTGGAGAGTGTTTTTTTTTTTAAAAAAAGTTCACCGGCATTGCTATTACACTTTCTCAAGATCAGTTTAGCTACCTTGCGCCTGAATGTATCCACCAGGAGACATTTATATTATAACAGTACTGCGTTGTGTTTGTTTAACAGTGAAAATTGATTGTCGATTTTAACAGTAAGTAATACTTTGTCAACATTTCAAGTGGAAGAGTCACAATGAAATTTCCCTAAGAGCACAGAGTGATAAGACCGACCGCCGCTTTTGGTCTTCGCTCGTACTCTCAAAAACGTTAATATTAAAGGAAGAAGTAATGTAATTTCAAAATAATTGCAGGATATTTCTAAGCGAAAAAAAAAAACTGCCGCGTGAAACTCGACTGTACTGTCATTCATAGCTATTTTATTCCACCACAAAAGGGACTTCAAGATCCAACGACGCGACGGCAATGAGAGCGGCGCTTAAAAAGTGAATCTGCGTTGTTTCAGTCTTTATCGAAGTTATTCCTACTCACTTCCTCTGTCAAATGTAGGCGAACCCTTCTGAAGTTGAATTTCAAGGCATCATATCCAAGTTCAGAAAAACAAATAAAATCTCGTCGTTGCTTGTTTACGTTCTCCACAAAACGCGAATTTAGGAATTTTCACGTCGTAGTCGTGCAGAAACGGCAAGGAAAAGTCCAAAAAAGGTGTGATGCACGGGCAAAGTTGTTGTTTTGCAGATTAAAACTACTGTTTTTAGACGTTCTCGTTGCCGTCGCGTCGTTAAATCTTAGAGCCCCTTATGTAATTAGTAAGCAGCAGTCACAATTCAATAACCAGTGCCTGACATGCTCAGTATATAGGGTCCACAACCGATTCATATTACTTACATTCATGCCTAGTGATTGTTGTTGTGTTTTTGTGGATGCGATAGATAAGCCCGGATACACAAGGCAGTTCATTGCACGATTTGATCACGACTGTCGAGACTTCAATGGCGTACTGAATAAGTGCCACGTGTGGAAAGACTTGGGCTTCTGTTTCAAATATCGACGAGAAATGCAACACGTTTGTAACAAAACCTGTCAGTACTGTGGTAAGTGATTTTTGCACTTCAAAGGTTGTAGAGTAACATAGTCTTTCCGAGTTTGTTTAGCTGTACAAAAGAGTACTATGACTAGAATGGATGTTTGGGTTTGAGTGTTCGGGGTAAGTTTGGCGGGGGGGGGGGGGGGGTATAGTACGGAAAATGGTATCTCTAGTAAAGTTAAGAACCGGAAAAAAAATAGCCAAAATGACAAAAGTTGATGATCGAGAGTCAGACAGTTATCGCGGCAAACCCGAAAAGTGAGTCTTTTACTTTTTGAGTAAACTTTTATAACATTGGTTTGAATTTGCCATCAGTTCCAGGTCAAAAGCAATGGCAAATAATAGACAGAGTCTGGGGACGTGTAAAAGATTCCGCCGGTCAAACAGTCGGTGTACATGACCGTGACTCGGCTCCTGTAATCCAACACAAGGCGGGCCCTGCGATACAGATATTGGGGAAAGAAAGAACGCCTCAAGTAGACACCGCGGCAAATGCCATAGCAACACAGTTGGAAAGGGGAGTTCATCAAGATAGTCAAGGTGTGAACAAAAAGGACACATCATTTTAGTGTATGATTACTAACTACTTCCAGGCGCAACTATTGAGAGAGAAGGTGCATGTGGCAGGAGTGTCGAACGAGATGAGACCCAAGTCCCTTTCATTCTTAGCACCCGTTTATACGAACAAAAGTTGTCTCGAAAAGAGGGTCACCCTCCCAGCCGAGTCAGCATTAGCGATTGTTTATATGAGAACAAATTTGACCCCTTATCCCAAGCCAACGGCGCATGCGCATTTTCTGAATATCTTGTCCTGACCGTGTTGACCCGGCTGGGCAAGCCAAAGTGTTTACATGGAGAAGCGTAAGCCCAAATAGGAGGGTAACCCTAACATCGCAAATGAGAGAACCAGCAAGGCTGTCATCCTTCTAACCAAGACAACGTTTTGTTTGTCATTTAAACTGTTCCCCGAGTTTTGCAAGGAAATGTATAGTACTAAAAATTGGCTCGGCGCTCAGGGTAGTATGGGAAGACGAGAGACCACTCTACCCTAGACAGCTTTTTTTTCCAAATAACGGGAACGCTAAAGAGCTTTCTTCTATTTTTCTGCTTTAGTTCCCTTTCTTCCTTTTTACTTTCTTATGTTGGCTGAATTTCAACTTTTTATATTAAAATTGTTAAAATCTATTCATGTGTTTTCTAACTGGTTTTAGCTTCTCCAAGTGTTCTCGGTTGGCTTGCCAAGGTTCGCGCTGGCTTACAAAGCACAATAGCACCTGCTCGAATCAAAAGTGAGACAGCAAATGATGCAACAAAAGAAAAACTTTTAACACCTCAGTCTGCTCCTTCAACAACAGCAGTTGATCAAGACCAGAGAGGAGAGTCAATCAACAGGCAAACCTCTATCAGTGGCAAAACTCAGGTGAGAGTATCAAGTAAAGAAACTGATCATCGCCCAGTTGTTGTCCTGATGGGATACGAACTGGGCGAAAAATCAAGTAAAAAGGTGCATGAAGTGCTAAAGAATTCTGATTCTGCTGAGATTTCTGAATGGCAATCAGTGAATACATCTGTGCCACAAAGACAGCATGATTATGGTTTAATAGCACTAGGCAGGAAACACGGTAACGGTACAGCATCCACGTCAACTGATAACATTGCATCAGAATATAAAGACGCCGATTCAGAATTAGAGAAGGTTGCTGAATTTCTTGGCAAAGCAACAACTACTGGCAAGCGAAAGCATGACAAGCGACCAGTGCATGAAAGAAAGAAAAATCTTTATATCAATGCAAGTGCTTTGCATTCAAAGCTACATGCAGGCTCCTTAAACAGTCCAGTAACTAGTGCTTCAGAAAACACGACTATGGAAAAAGCTGAAAAACTCAAAAGCCAAAAGGAAGCTATTCTTCCCATTAGCTCTGACGATATTGTTAACCAGCAGGCCATTGAACGCGTGAAATCCTCCACTAGTCACACTCATCATTACAAGAACAATGATATGCATGAACAGCAATACCAGGGCATAGAAAATGGCTACTTAATGCCGAATAGTTTAGAAGGCATGCAGGCAATAGACTTATCAGGAACAATGGTGAGTAATAAGTATCAAGGAATCGGTTTATAATCCAGGTGAATGATAACCATGAATAACGGTTTAGTTACAGCTGTGTGACATTTTTTGTAAGCAAAAGCCACTAGAAGGGAAGAAAAATCAGGCTGAATGGAAAAATTTCCAGATATTTTGACGCCATAAGAGACCAAAGATTTTTGCCTTTTCCTTGCCTTGCAATTCGCTTTTTGTGTAGCAATGAAAAAGACGTTTGGCACCCAGCGAGACGAAACGTCCAATTTCTTTGAAAGTCTCATGGTGTTAGTTATTCGTTCGCCGCTATTTTGGCATTGCAGCTACCGTGTAAACGTAATTGGATTTGTTCAACGGCTTGCATACATTAAAAAGCCATGAAAACTAATGGTGAATCAGTTTATTTGGAGCATACGCGTAGCGGCCGCATTTCTTCTTTGAAATGCTTTTTGTTTTTAAACTAAAAACAAGAAAAAATCCCATCGGACACTAGAGCGTGACGGCTATATCCGTATGTTGGAAATATATATACCCTGAAGATTTTTTCTTTGCATTACCAGATGGACGCACCTCTTCGAAAGCCTAAGCCTCCAGATTATGCAGGCAAGCAAGTGACAGTTACTTTTAATGAGAAACCGGTGACTGAAGAAACGCTTAAGCAGTCTCCACCACCAAACTATTTCCACGCGAAAGAAAATGAAGAGGACATTGACAAGTCAGAAGAAGAAAAGATCAGAATGGCTACGCAATCGATTAAAAATGTATTGAAACTTTTTGGTAATGATTACCGAGACGACCACGAGAAACTTAAGCTTGTAACGCAGTCGGCCAAAGACCTTCCTGCCCATTCTAAATCACTGGAAATCCACCGTGAACTGGCGGGAATACAGAGAGAAACTGACACTCAAAAGCAAAGCCAGGACCGCTCTGCGGAAAACGCTCAGGCTATTTCGCGGCAAATTGGACAGGAGTTGACCACCAATGAAAGCGGAAACAGAATGACAAATGTTCCAAACTATGCCGTAATCAGCACGAAAGGGTCAAAAGACTGGAAAAACCTGGCTCACGTGCTTGCAGTTCAACTAAAGGGAGTCTTGAATCATATGGAAAACAGGGAAAAGGAGAATCAGTATGAAAAAGACAGGATGGAGGAGGAGATGATGATGATGGCACAGCAACAAGACGAAGACGATGATCCAGATTATGATGGTCATTATTACGACGACGATGATATGAATGAACGACGTCATTCTGTTCTGATGCCTCTTGCCACTAACAGCTCTAAAAAAGCCTTTAAGAAGTTTATCCTAGAAAACAAACGGCCTCAGAGATTAAAATATGAAAGCAGTGTAGATGAAAAGCGGTTACTTCACCAAGATGTTAAAACGTTATCCAAATTAGAGATGCTTTACAAATCTCAGGAGCGAAATTCTTCAAACCACGAATAAAGCGGTTTTAAATTGAGGCTTCGTCCACACGGCACCGACCAGTCGAAACTTCGTGCGAAATTTTGAACGCTAAAATCGAGGTCAAATCTTTAGCCAATAGGGTCGAAAATTTGACCAACTTAAAGTAAACACCATGACCGTCAAAATTTTGTTAGGACAAATTTGACCGGCGGGAAGTGAACACCAAAACTATCTAAATTTTTGTACGGTAAATATGCGGTTCCATGGATACGTGGTAACCCAGCTGAAGACGCCATTTGCCATTTTGGATTTGCTTAAGTAGCGGAAAGGCAGATGGTAGAACCTCTGACTAAAGTTGAAATTCAACTGGTTCGTCAGTTCCGTGTGAACGAAGTGTCCCGTCAAATTTTTCAGCCGATCAAAATGAGAGTCTTAAAACAAAATCCATTGCCTGTTCACTTAAGAGTGACGCCGCGTTATCAAGAAATTGAAGCAAATACGACTAGCATGAGGGGTGAAAACTCTTGCGACCAACAAACGTACAAGTTGGTCTCCTACCTCGTTCTTAGGGTCTGTCGTCTCTCCACCCCAAGAGCGAGAGACCCCAAGACTGGTGTGGTTTTCAGTTGGGTCCCTGAATTTAATTGAAGGAAGGAAGAAAAACCTCCGGGACCAGGGTAATCTCGTACCCAGACCTCACTTTTCAGCGTAAGACAGAGTGAGATCTGGGTACGAGATTAGGACCAGGGTAGGGGATTTAAAGTACATTTGCTTGCCCACTCAATAATAGAAATACAAAAAATATAAGAAAGTAGAAAACAAAAGTGGCGAGGAGACCTGAAAGAAACTATAGGAAGCTTATGATAGGTTAGGCCTCCTCGAACTACGGGCTAGAGCTGTTTTAACATCAAGTGAAGCAAAAAATTTATCTGGTTATACAGTAAACTTTCGCCTTACGGACACTCCGCTATAACGGGCACCCCTATAATACGGAGAACAGCCAAATCCCAGGAACAAATGAATTACAGAAGTTTGATCAAAATAAAATCCCGTTATTACGGACTCTCGCTAATATGAGGACACTAACTCAAAGTCCCTAGAGTGTCTGCTCTGTATCATGCGAAAACTTTCACAAATGAAATTTTCAAGTGTATCTCTGATTTACAATAGAGCTTCAAAAATTACACTTGTTGGAAGTTGTATTAAAATGGCTACCGATTTTAATTCGGATTGTTTGCAAAATGGTGCAAGAAAGCATAGATGAAATTAGTTTCCTTTCAGTGACGTATTAAAGTTCTCTCAAACCTACCAGGTAAAAAGCTGTAAAATTGGTTTCATTCAGAACACTGGCGCAGTCAGTATCGATGATACAGATTTTATCTCTTTTCTACTTTATTTTCTGGGCCATGGTCCAACGCCACTAGACTATTATAGAACCCCAACGACTTAAAATAACTTATTTATAAAAGGATGTGGAAAATTTTCTTATACTTCCTATTATTAACCCATCCTGTCAGCTGTCCTGTTAGTTTTCTAGAGGAAGGCCATTGCAGGCCTATATAAGGCAGTACAGGTTGTAAGATTTTTGTTGTATCTAACGACAGCACAAAGAAGGGGACCAGGGAATAAAGTGTACAAATAAGCCTAAAGAGTCATTTGTAGAGTGAGATTGCACTAAGGGAAGTAGATACATTTGTGATGTGCGAGAATATACATTGCGTATGGGAGCAGTACAGGCATTTTCGAACTAAAGGGACAGTGGCGTTCTTGCTCGCAAAGAATTCTAATTCTCGCTGAGTTGCATAGATCGCAATAATCACATAGACCTTGCTAATTTTTTAATAAAGAAAAAGATTCAAGACCAAAAGTTTTTGTTAAGTTAAGCCGGAACTGTGGGGGTCATTTACCCATAACTTCGCTCACCTCTGTGCGCTTGTGGAGCACAAACGGGGAAAACGCCCAAGTCCTCCAATTCAGCAGTTAGTCTCAATTCTTCAGGGTCGGTTATGTGCGAGAAACAGCGAAAAACGCTGCCTAAGAGAAGCTGGAGCGCTTTCACTGAGTATGACAACAGGGCAAAAAAATCTGTCTCATGGCAACGCACTGTTTTTCGCGAGCGCATGGGTACCATGAACAACTTAGCACAAAGAGGCTGCTATCAGTTTTTTTCTAACGTAGCCAGCGAAACTGTGTATTGTGATATTTTTCTGTTTATCCGGCAAAAACGAGAAAAGAAAATACCTCCTAGTGCCAGCCAGCTCCTTTTTGTCTTTCTTTTATTGGAAATTTCCAGTTGAAAGGATCATGTTTGAATTTTTTGACCGAAACAAAGCGCTTTTCAGTATAAAATAAAACGTGCGGTTTTTGGCAAAAAAAAAAAGAAAAAGAATAAGAGGGAAACATCGCTGTATAGAGTCATAAGACAAGAGAAAAGGAATGAAGCGGACCTAAAAGCCCAGGTTTCCTAAGAAAGAAAGATAGAAAGCCGAACTGTTTTGCTCATTCACTATTCGTGATGTTTCTTTCTTGGACCGGGTAAGACAGAAAGTTTCGAGCTTCCGGTTGAAGCCTCCTATCCACTTCTTTATTCCTATCCAACTTCTTTATTACGGCAGACTTCAACCATTGTCTAATATTTGGCTCATTCTAACCCCATGGCTTCATTCAGCCGTGCATAGGATCATACTTTCAACCTTCTTGATACCTGGACATAGAATACTGCTCGCGAAGAAGTAAGTGAAAGTTGTTGTGTGACACTTTACGCAGTTCTATTTCCGGACAACATTTTTTGCAAAGCACGATGGTCTGTTACACTCGACAAATCGATCAGTCATGGCTATATGGCGCTATTTATTCTTGTATATTCTCTTCTTCACGAATTTTCAAACGTCCTCAGCGGACTCTAAGGTCTCTGATGCGGTGTATAATCTTTCAAAAGAATCAGAAGTCAGGGAGCCAAGCGTGTTTCTTGCGATTATTGCTCGTAATGCAGCTCATCTCCTTCCGAACTGGCTGGGATATATCGATAATTTAGACTACCCTAAAAGTAGAATTTCTGTTTGGTAAGTGTGTCTTCTGGTATTATCATTATTAGTGGTTGTGTATATTTCTTAGTTTTGATTGTTTTAAGTTGTTATAGAAGCCACAGTTATTAAGCGACCAAGAATTTTCGACAAACGGTCCAACCGTCGGATCACAACAAATTAATAAATGAGAGCATTGTCAATGCTAAAAACGCCTGCATTTATGTTTGTTTACCGTTAGCTGTTGTGCTGTTGATTTCCAAAAAACAAATCTTCTTTTAATATATATGTCGTTACTAGCAAATGTAAATAAGAGGTTCAGTGAAAATCATAAATGACAGCTACCTCATAAACGTGTAGTCAGTTATCGTCAACGTGTCAGTGCATTCCTTAAATTCTTCCACGATCCGATACTTGCAAAGTGTATAGTGGAGTAAGCGTAGCTTTTGGAGCACTGTCTTATACCATGTAGATTGTTGTTTTAGTCCGGGGTTTTAATTAAGACACGTAAAAAGGAATCAATAATATTGCATATAATTTATAAGGTCATTCTATTACTTTCATGACTCTCATAAATATAATTACGAACGTCATGAAAGTCATGAAAGTAACAGAATGACCTTATATACATTAATTATTAATGTATATATGTGGAAAGGGTAGGGATTTCACAAACTGAAGTATAAGAAGGGTAGGGAGATGGGTTAGTTAGGTGTTTACACCGTATGCTTGTATCCCTTTACTATAATTTGCCCTCTGTGCAATGTCGTTTATTAACTTCATTCCAAGGGTTTAGTAGAGCTGGGGAGACAGGGTTTATATTAGAAAGATACGTGAAAAGGGGGTATCATTCTTCAGTGGTAAGAAAGTGTAATTTTTCTCTCAAAAATTGTATACATACAAGAGTAAGAGAGTGGACCTTAGGTCAGAGTCCTCCTGTATTAAAATTTTTTAAGTATTTCCCCAGGCTACACCCAGACTTTCGTCAGGTTCCCTCTCCACTCTCCTCAGGGTTTCATTATTACCTTAAGCCAGAAAAAGATACCTGGTTCAGGCAGAGCCTCCCCTTTAGGCCGTAACAAGGACTGCCCCCAACTAGGTGTAGGATCAACCCTGACCGTGATAAGAACAAGAAAAAAATAAAAACAAATATCTACTCTTTACGGGACATCAAATTCTAACTCTGTTATGAGGACAAATGGATAACATACTTTCCTGTTTCTCAATGTGAACACCCTGTTCAGGACAAGCTTACGTAAAATTGAATGGCCTGTTTAAGAAAGATAGCCAATAAACCATTCCTTGTCGTGTAGGCCATTAAGGAAATACATGTGTGGAATAGAAAATTAGCTAGCATGAAAGGTGACTTGTATTTTTTGTCTCGCAGTATTTGCTTTAAATCCATTTATAATTAATAAATGTCTCTGACCCCAGGGGATGGAGATACTTAACCAATTTTTGGGTAGAGGTGATCCAAAATCGATGACTGATGCTTAGCATAAACAAATCTTCATTCGAAGTCCAATTTAACTTTCATTGTTTTGAAGACAAGGGCAATTTGCTAATTACGATAAAGATTGTCAAAATTTTTGAACTCCACACAGGCATGCGCTCTGCTGAACCCCGCTAAAATTGCTCATAATTATGCAAAGGTTTGGAAAAACAAGGTTCCAATCAAAATCACTTCCCGGTTTTCCGGTAGTGATGTCAGGACGGCATTAACGACTGGTCGATTCAGATGTTACTGAGGGAGTAAATGACTCAAAGTAATGTCTGAAATTCAGGCTAGTGATCTATACGTGTGAAACCAACAAACTTTCACCCACTTCCCCCTTTTTTTACTGGTCCTGTCTTCTCCATGAGCCATTCCCGAGCTTGGAGTATGCCCTTTCCTTTTTTTAAATTTGATTACTGGCATTCTTTTTGTTACAGATTATTATATTGTGAAAGGTAAGTCATTATAATCATAATTTTCATATAAAGATGGTATCGACCTAAGCATTCATACGATCTCCCCAAATCAAATTCAAATTCTTGAAGTTTTTCAGTTATAAATAACATGTCTATTTTATTATTATTATGTAATAATTTCTAGGATCAGATCTGACCATAATGAAGACAACACATCAAAAGTCCTTCAAGAATGGGCTCAGAATGTGAAGCAGTTGTATCACAGAGTATTGATCAATGTTTCTGACACACCCAATGATTACGAGAACACTGCTGGTCCAGCTGAGTGGTCAGAGAGTAGATACAAACAGATGATGTACCTGCGGCAAAAGGCCCTGGATAGTGCCAGAAAGCAGTGGGCAGATTATTTATTTGTAGGTTTTTTTGCCTTCAGTTATCAACTACGGTCAAACCCTGTTAATACAGACACTGAGGGGACCATAGAAAGTCTCCTTTTTAACAGGGTGTCGGGATTAACCAGGTTGAATGTAGAGAAAATGTAAGGGCTTTCTGTCCCCAGGGAAAAAGCAAACTGTCCATAATAATGAGGTGTCCGTATTAAGCAGGTGTCTGTAAAGCCGGGTTTAACTGTATGGGGAAGGGAAGGGATGAATGAAAAATTTGTGGTGGGAGAGTGTCTGTGCTCTAGGGTCAGTGAAACTGTTGTCCAATATAAGACCATGGTAAACTACATTTTGCAACCCTATTTTAAACTAGTTACAGACACCAAATTCCCTTTCTTTTGACAGGCTCCCCATTGAGTAGGCCCTGAGTTGTTCAATAGTTGGTGAGTGCTATCTACTGGATAAGAGTTACTGAAAACAGTTGCATTATCCACTGGATAATGATTTATGCAGCAGACATCACCATTTAACTTTTGGAGAACTACAGGGATCAGAAACTCTTACAATAACCACTTCTCACAATCTGTTCTAGACTGAGACCCTCTGATTTATGTTTCCGTATAGTATCCCTGGCTAAAGTGCTTGAAAAAAAGGCCACCCTTGACTGTGGCTCATGCATTTACACATCAAGTGTATGCATGACAATGTAACTAACACCTCTAATAATAAGACCATAAACTGTACTAACACTCCCTACCCCTCAGGGATATCAACAGTGAGACCATTAAGTTTATACATGTCAATGTTACTAACATCCCACACCCGGGGGCCATTCTAGGGGGAGGGTGCAGGGGGTGCGCACCACCCTGAGATGACCTGCGGTTTTCTAATACAACTGGTATTCTGCAAAAAAAAACTATGTGGTTTATTGGTGTTGAAGTAGAGCAAGAGATGAGTGCACCCCCTCCTAAAAAAAATCCTGGATCCGCCCCTGACACCCCTCTGCCAGGGAGTAACAACAGTGGGAACCAAACATAGCAAAAAGTATTGTTCTCTGAACAAAATTAACAAGTCATAAGTGACAAATTAGTTTTACTAAAAAAAATCATAGCAATGATTGTAATATCAAAATATCTGCATTATTCTATACTTGAACACAAGTTTAGGGTCAAGTTTAAAAGGAACGTAAAGGACCTAAGTTTTATGAATTATTGGCCATATTTCCCATGCATGGCATGTTTTCTTTTGACTAAAATTGTAGATAGTATGGTAATGACAGTAGACCTAACATATGGACAGTTTAATTCGTGAATGTTTAGGTCCTTTAACTTGAACACAAGTTTAGGGTCAAGTTTAAAAGGAACGTAAAGGACCTAAGTTTTACGAATTATTGGCGGTATTTCCAATGCATGGCATGTTTTCTTTTAACTAAAATTTGTTGATAGTATGATAATGACAGTAGACCTAACATATGGACAGTTTAATTCGTGAATGTTTAGGTCCTTTAACTTGAACACAAGTTTGGTATCAAGCTTAAAAGGAACGTAAAGGACCTAAGGTTTACTTCTTAAGACTAACATTTCTTGTGCCCACACTTGCATCCGTAAATAATTATTAGACCCAGTACCTTGCATACTAAAATATTCTCTTCAAGTTCACTGACAAGGTGCTTTAAAAATGACTTCAGTTGGTATTTTTCAGGCTCTTTCCATATAGAAATTATCTTAAGGTGGATTTATTTTCAACCTACTTGTACAGCTGTCCCATTGCCCGCTAAAAGTGTTTATTGTTTTTGAGCTTGGAAACAATTCAAACATTCCAACCTTCAAATGCAACGGCTGTACATGTGTTGCAAACCACCCTTAATATATTATGCTTGTTGTTTGCTTTAGTTTGTAGATTGTGACAACTTCCTTGTGAACCCCAAAACACTACGGCTTTTGATGGATGAAAAAAAGTAAGTACCACATTTACTTTCCACTAAATTACATTTTGCAATAACTACAATGGTTTACATAATTGTACAGTCGAACCTCTCCTTGTAAGCTCTCTCATAAACAACCAGCTCTAGCAACCACCTTCGAGAAACCCCATTTGAGCTGTGACCTAAATTAACTTTGAGATGAAAAGTTCTCATAATCGACCACTTTTGGGATTACCCAACTGGACTTTTCCTTTGTTTTGAAGCTCTCGTAAGCCACCACTCAGAGTCTCTTAATCAAATAAATCAACACTTCATAAATGAGGCTGCACACTGTACTTATAATGGTTCAATGATAAAGATCTGTGCAGTGCGGTATTGTATTTCTATAAGTACTTTGCCTGTATGGTAACGACCACTCACAGTGTCTATATATCAGATATATAGACACTCATTTAACATAAATTTCTTTTGTTTTGTTTTTGTGAATTAATAGTAAGTTTCTAAAGCTCTCGTAAGGAACAACCCTCTATTGTTTTAGCATGCAGTTGCTTACGAGAGCTCATTTTAGTAAGGGACAAGCTCTACTTAAGGCCACTTTTTCGAATTTCAGAGGTGGTCGCTTATGAGAGCTTCAGCTGTAATCTGTGTTTTGCATGGAAACGTTAGAAAACTCACCTGGCCACAGTTTTTCAAAAGTGGGATAGCACTCTTTACTAGATAAATCTATCCAGCAGATAAGCTAAGTATCAGGGAAACCAATTGCATTATGTACTGGATAGAGATTTATCCATTGGATAGCATTAGTCCACCACTAAGACCTGGGGGTTAATATTTATAATAATTATTTTATTACGTATGAAAGATTTTTGAATAAACCATTTCCTTCTCTTGTAAGATGGTAGAAACACTTCCATGTTAATATAATTCTTTTTACTCATAGAACTGTAATAGCTCCTATGATTGAAGTGTTTGGAGGCAAGGCTGCATATTCTAATTTTTGGGGTGGAATGGATGAAGAGGTAAGTGCTAGAGAATGCATGATAGATTAATATACAAAATAATTTTAATTGTGGTGGATTTTTGTGATCTCTTTTATAAAGATCATTCTTAAGTTTAAACTTTGTCGTTGTGCCATCTCCTTAACGCTCATTGGCTGATTATGGTGTTTTTATGGCTTATATCACATGGTTTTCTCCCCCCCTGGGGTAGTCAGTGTTTTTATAATGGCATGTAAATGCTCTTGGTGGCAGTAGAATGAACTAAACATTTTTCATTTGAATCCGGTTGATACCCTTGTAAAGTGTCAAAATTAATACATCAGTCGTTACTAACTGTTGTTAACAAAGTCGTTACTAACTGTTGAAAAGTGTTTAGCATGTTAAACATGGAATTTTTTTCTTGGTGTGTGACACTCTAGGGATACTATGCAAGATCTGATGATTACTTTCCCATGCTTCAACGAGAGAAGAAAGGCTGTTTTGAGGTGCCGATGATCCATTCCACTCTTCTTATTGACCTGCAAAAGACAATAAGTGACCAGTTGAGATATAATCCACCACTGGACAGTTATACAGGCGAAGAGGATGATATTCTCGTATTTGCACACTCAGCAAGGATGGCTGGTAAATACTGCAGTAGATACCTTGTATTTACCGTATTCTCGATAATTATGCGTATAGCAAAATTAAGACTCGCCTGCCTCCTCCACAGGCTATTAGGGAGCTTAAGCAAAGGTGTTTTTGAGTGACACACTTCAACAGGAAGTGAGGCTTTTTTCCTTTCAAATGTCTTGACGCTAACTAATTTGAGCTGCTAACGTCTTTAAATGTCAACGATTTGCCCGAAATTTGGTGCAAAACTACTGTCCAAGAATATGAAAAACTCACTTCCGGTTGGCAGCGTCGCTCAAAAATGCCTTTGTTTAAGCTCCCTTTTGGGGAGAGTGGGGGATAATGGGAACCAGCACAGAGAGTGAGCAGGGTTTGTTATAGAAAGGCTAATAATTTTCCCCAACGGGAATCGTACTTGCCAAGTTCAAGGACGAATACTGTCCCTGACAAGAAACCGAGAGGGGAGCCATTTGGCAGCTCCCACAAATCTCGATTTTCGCCTGTCCATGTATAAGCCATAGTGGAAAGTTTGGAGCAATATGAACGCATGTTATCACTTGGTTTTTTTTTTTGTTTTTGTTTTTCAGATGTAAAGCTGAATCTACTTAATAAAGAAGTTTATGGTTACATGATACAACCATCAGGTGCTAGTAAAACTTTGAAAGATATGAGGATTTCCTTTACACACATAAAGCTTGAGTGGTTTGGTAAGTCTGGCCGGCTTTAAACAATGCGTTCATCTCTAAAAGGGAAGCTAAGCATACTGCTCCTTTATTTTAATTCCCCTTTCAAATTTAAATGTTCATCGATATCCATATATTTATACTCAGTCGTATAAAAATCGTTCAGAAGAGTGTTTAAGAATATTACATCAGAGAACCCTAACTGCACTACCAACGGCTCTTGGCGAAAGTTTAGCCCGCCGTCATCTTTGTTTTCGTCATGCATAGCTGACATATTCATGTGTCTCCACTTGTAACCTACCTGCTCGGCAAACGACGTAAGGTGTGGCCAGTGAAGGGGAAAAGAGAGGGGGACTGGGCTTGCTATGCAGGCCATGTAAGTTACTCCAAGTTCCAAATTTCTCCAAAACGTACATTTAAGTGAAGTCTTACATTACTGCTATATCTGCGATATGTGCAGAAATGGCGTTAAACTTTAATTGTTGTTTTTTCTCTCTGTGTTTAGTTGATCATCCAGAAGAATTGATGCCTGTTAGTTCACATGTTTCTCTTAAATATATCTCTCCTGAAAAGCTTGGTTTTGATGAGGTACAATTAACAAACAGGCCTTAGTTGTTCAGAAGGTGGAAAACGCTATCCAGAGGATATCGCTGGATAGTTATTTATCCGCTGGATAGCCGGTGCCTTCTAGCTTCTGAACATCCAGGGCTTGTAGTTGATCATCGTCAATATAGCTGTCTGCCATATAACCTACGAGTAAAGGATAATACTAACCTCCCAAAACGAGATGTTATCAACAGTGGTAAAACCAACCTAAGCTTGCATCAAATACTCGGGGGTATCCCTGTTGTTGGGTGGGGGGGGGGAGGGGGGGGTGGTGAAGGGGACGACCTTACTATTGACTGAAACAATTTTCGAACAGGATATCCTTTTCTGTAGATCTGAAGGTGCTTTCGTACTTACTTGCTTCTTCCATTTCATCCCAATAAACCGGGCTTTAATGAGGAGGTCCATGACTAGTAAGGTACAGTAAGCCCCGGCGCCTCCAGTGGTTCACCTCTGTATCCATGAAAAACTATTTTGTATTTGCATTCTGATTGCCTTGAGCAAACGATCCTCTGTCAGCACGTGGAGTGTCTCCTTATCTTATAACATATCTATCCCTTTTTTTTAAGATCTATCTTATCAACCTCAAAAGACGGCCTTTGCGACGAAAACGAATGCTTGCATCTCTGAAAGAGCTTGGAATAAGCGTCAAGTTATTTGATGCGATCGATGGGAAGTAAGTATTAATGAGTTATATTTGTTTGCGAGTTCAGATAAGTTAACTTGTACTACGAGACTAAGTTTTTTCACTCGTCCTTTACCAAACCTTTCGGTTGCGATTATTTTTATGATATCTTTACAAAAATAAGTGGTTTCATGTCAGGCACAGCTTTACTTCAGTTCGCCTTTCCTATTTAATAAATTGTCAACCTAAAGCTGACGTTGGCCATTTGCTGAAAACTTGATTTTAAATTTTTCTGTTGTCACAGAGTTTGAATTACGAGTAGTCTCTTTCTTTTCCTAGTTTCCTTTAAGGGGAGCTAAATCCGCTTGTACCCAAGGGCCACTGGCACACTCCACTGATCGGTTACCCCACTAGACTACACGGTTGTCAAGCGGTTATGGCTGCCCTTCAGCGGCTCCGTCAATCTTTGCAGTTTTAGCTCTAGTTTTTTCGCTTTTTTCCGTTGATGTGGTGCCGGCCTAACCTATAGTACAAAGACGTAAACTTTATAGTTATCGAGTACCGTTTTGTTTTGTTTTGTTTAGATTTTTTATTCTCCTAAATTTAAATCATTTTCCTTCTCCTACTTCTTTTTTTATCTCTTTATCTTTCGTGTTATGCAATTTGATTATCGTAACTACTCAGCTCGTTTAGTTTTTTCTATTCTGAGTAATTTTTTTGCCTGATCTACTTTAACTTATTCTGTTCTTGTAAACTTTTCTTAACTTGGCAAATAAAATGGTTGGTTGTTAAAAGAGCGACCGCCCTTACAGCCTAAACGGGCTGCGGCATCTGTCAACTTATTGAGTGCTTCGTATTTATTTAGTTATCGAATTGTTTATTTATTGTGTGTTTGCTTTTGTTCACCATACTGATGGTCGTTGTCAACAGATCATTAACAGATCAGCAGGTGAAGGATATGAAAATAAAAATGTTACCAGGTTACAGTGATCCTCATGGAAAAAGGTACAAAATAATCAACTGAGCAAATTAAAACTTGTGCTGCTAGAGCGATTTTCGTATGACCTTGAAAAATGGTTTCGGTAAGAGTTCGTCATCTGTTTCATGAGCCAATGGATGAAAAGATCAAAACATGGACTCTTCGTTTTCCCGCCAAAGAAAACCCTAACGTGGAGAAGACATTGTTCGATTGGCCAATCGTGTTGCAGTATGACGTCAAAGCGAAGTATCCATTGATTTCTAGAAAGTTCTCGGGCATGAAGTGTTTTCACCCGAACGTTCGCTTAACCAACCAAAAGCCACCCGCGTTTGTATCTGTTCGATAAACCAATCAAATCGCTCTATTTCCTTCGTTTGTTGTTTCTGTTTTGTTCGCACGTTTTCATTTCAAGGTCATACGAAAATCGCTCTATTTGATTGCTAGAGTGGTTTTCGTTTGAGTGTCGTAAAACCAAAACCAAAGTAATTACTCTGGCCAATCACATAGGACACAGACAATACATTGAACCAATCAAAACTCGAAGTAATTACATGTGGCTGACGCAAAGCGCGGGAAAACGCATGCGAGCGCGTCACAATTGGCTTTGGTTTTACTTCTGATTGGATGAAAAGGTGGCGCGAATCTTTTAAGCCAATCGCATCGTGTAGAAAGTGCAAAACCAATTACTTTTCGACACTCAAATGAAAACCGCTCTAATGTCACCTCCACCGAGCAACCCTTTTTTAGACTAGAAACTCAACGCACTGAGAATTTTGTGTTTCCCGAGGCGAAGTCAACGGAAACATTGAGACTCCAGCGAAATAGAGTGACCACCATTTTAGTTAACACGTTGTTTGCCACCCGCGTGAGATTCATGTTAATTTAGTTAAAGCGGCGTGCTACAAACCAGTCAATTAGCAGCTGTATTCTAAAACTATTTTTTGTGCTTGTTATAACTTAGGCCGCTGACCATGGGAGAAATTGGATGTTTTCTGAGTCATTACCTTATCTGGGAGGAGGTAAGATCACTGATGGTATACAGTTCACGTTTATAATAGTGATTTTTTTCTTCAAGTATTGGTGTACAAGTCAGTTTGAAAAACAATGTACAGTCTTTGAACATTACTGCAATCATTTGACTTTCCGCTATTATTCTTAGATGGTTAACAACGGCCTTAGTCAAGTTTTGGTTTTAGAGGATGACGTGCGATTTGAGCCTGATTTTAGAAATCAACTCCGACAATTGCTGAGGGAAGCAACAGTCCTAAATAACAAATATCGTTGGGAGCTAATGTGAGTTGACTTTTTGATTTAATTTCGTCTTTTTGTCCACTGTTGGCGCACTGCTGCAACGGAATTAAGCTTCAATTGCGAAAGATCGCATGCTCAACAATTTTTCGCTTATGAAAATAGGACTTTTTCAAATTAACGATTTTCGTGGATGCCTTTAGCTTGCGTTGTTTTTCAAATTTGTCAGTCTAGGTTTGAGCGAACAGTGATGTAGCGGAAAATTATCACAAACACTTGCTGCACTGAGAATGTCGGTCAGTTACGGACTAGAAGTCACTAATCCGTTGATAAATGTTCAAAATTTCAAGCTGAGAACTACACACAGCTTATTGTCCAGTTATACTGACTTTAACAAAATGTAAGTAAGTTTTCGACTGGAGGCAAAGCTTTTACAAAGTTAGGTCAACGTAAGGAGAAAATTACTGTTTAAGGTTCATAAAATGGTCATTGAAATGAGTGTGAGGGCAGAGAGTAAATTAAAAGCAGTCATGGCGGTGACGGCAACGAGAACCTCTACGAGTTGTTGTTCTCTGTCACTAAGCTGCGTTTACACGATCAGGTTGTCCTTGACAAGGAATACTTGCTAGTGTGAATAAACGACGAAGGAAGAAAAACTTGCTCAAGTTTTCCAATTTAAAAGACTAATTTTTCTTTGCAATTCTAAACTGGGTTTACTCTTGTTTGTCATTCTGATGCTCTCGTTTGCCGTTCTCGTTGTCGTTGCATGAAAGGGACCTTACCATCCGACAATGATGATGCCAATGGAGACGTCGCTAAAAATAGACTTTGCGTCCTTTCAAAATTTTTCGCCCGAATACCAAGCTACTCAATTACCTAAGAGTAGGGAAATTAGGTAGGAATTGAAGGGAGAGGACCGCTTTAGAGTTCAGATTTATCGCCTCGCTGTTCCTGTTCTCAGCTCAACTAAAAGCCTTTGGTCATTTTACGTCGTTCTTGTACCGGGACGGCAAAGAAAGTTACAAAAAAGTGCAACTAGCCTACCTATTACTCTGAGGTCCTACTTATGCTGTAATCAGGGCGCCGATGACCAGTCAGATTAGAGAATTTTATTACAGTTGCATTAATCTGTTGTGCTTTTGTCTTATAGTTACATAGGACGCAAGCGATTTCACAGTAAACCTGTGCAGATGGTCCCAGGAGCAGAGCTGTTGGCCTGGGCTGATTACACATACTGGACGCTGGGATACGCGATTAGTTTAAGTGGTGCTCGCAAACTCCTGTCGGCCAAACCGCTTGAAAAAATGGTAGCAGTGGACGAGTTTCTACCGATCATGTTCAACAAGCACACAAAGTAAGTCGAATAATGTCAGTACGTGGTGGTTTTTAATAACTTTTTTTTAAGATTACTGGCAAGCTAGTTATTTCACATGACTCTTCTCCCAATAAAAAGTTTTTATCGGCTTCTGATTCATCCCTTGAAAGCAATATTGTTCCAAGAAGAAGTATTTGTCTGCACCAGTCTTGTTCAGCATTCAACATTGTTTGTCGGGGGCTGTATGCAGTTTTACCAGTATCACGTTACGCAGCTTAAGCAACGACGACGACGACGGCGACGGCAACGAGAACGAAAGAAAGGATTAGGATTAGATTAGCAAAACAGCAACTTTTAAACTTTTTTTGTACCAGTATTTCTTTGTCGTCGTTGCACGACTAAGACGTGAAACTTTCTTCCAAGCGAAAGATTTTCTTTTCCTTTCCATTGTCACCTTGTAAGCTACTTGGCTCGGAAAACTTGTCCTATATGAATCTTTCCTAATGGTATTTTTTAGGGTATATTCTCCATATCTCTTTTGTTTGCTTACACAGTTCAGAGTGGAGTAACCATTTCTATCCGCGGAACCTTGTTGCCATGACAGCCGAACCATTGCTTCTGTACCCGACGCACTACGTAGGTGACGTAGGATACTTCAGCGATACAGAAACAACAGGACTCATCCCACCTGAGTTGCAACAAAATGACAATGAGAAGCTCAAAAGAAGAATCGAGCTTTGACGTCTGTTTATGTAATTCAGTCTACGCCTCGATGTCCAGTGCTGTGCGATCGACAGGAAATTGCAAGTATTACTCTGTAGGACTGACAGTATCAAACCTCTGTCTTTTAAATTTTTAAAATTTTCAAGACAATTAGAAAAAAAGCAGCTCTAGTCAGTAACGCACTTTAGCAGCAAGTTTAGTTTTTGAGGCACTGTATTTAACGCTGAAATAGTCGTATAAGAATCGATGCATTATTTCACTAGTTGGTTTGACGTAAGTGGCGGGTCCCCTTAGATATAGGCGAACTGAAATGTGATTGGCATCTGTTGCAGGTTTTGTTATAAAGGAAGACTTAAACTTGGAGAATGAGCTGTCACATAGCGGGTTGTGAGCAAAACTAGCGGCTTTCTTAACTAAATAAAAAAGACAGAATTTATGAAGATTATTTTGAAAAGAGATTGTATCTGCCACTATGCGAGTACAAAGTAGTTTTTATCTGAGCAGATGTTGTATCTATTCAGCTACAGCTGTCGGTTCCACGGTACCGTATTCNCAACAAAATGACAATGAGAAGCTCAAAAGAAGAATCGAGCTTTGACGTCTGTTTATGTAATTCAGTCTACGCCTCGATGTCCAGTGCTGTGCGATCGACAGGAAATTGCAAGTATTACTCTGTAGGACTGACAGTATCAAACCTCTGTCTTTTAAATTTTTAAAATTCTCAAGACAATCAGAAAAAAAGCAGCTCTAGTCAGTAACGCACTTTAGCAGCAAGTTTAGTTTTTGAGGCACTGTATTTAACGCTGAAATAGTCGTATAAGAATCGATGCATTATTTCACTAGTTGGTTTGACGTAAGTGGCGGGTCCCCTTAGATATAGGCGAACTGAAATGTGATTGGCATCTGTTGCAGGTTTTGTTATAAAGGAAGACTTAAACTTGGAGAATGAGCTGTCACATAGCGGGTTGTGAGCAAAACTAGCGGCTTTCTTAACTAAATAAAAAAGACAGAATTTATTAAGATTATTTTGAAAAGAGATTGTATCTGCCACTATGCGAGTACAAAGTAGTTTTTATCTGAGCAGATGTTGTATCTGTTCAGTTACAGCTGTCGGTTCAAGTGTACCGAATTCAATCATGGCATAAATGATCATGCGTTGTCGTGTTACACGCATGAGTAACCTTGTTTTATTGCAGGAAAAAATTTAAGAAGGGAGATATATAATACACGAATTTTTTAAAAATATTTTCTACAGGAGATAATTTATCAATAAATATGCCTTCATGTCTGTGAGTGCTATTTATTTATTCTAAGATTACTGAATCCCAGTAGTTCCTTGAACCCTTGAATATTTCATGCAAACACTAAAATACTGTGGAGATTATAACCACCCCAGTCAGTCCGTTTGTACCGTCATGCTCTGTTGTGGTTGATCTCAGTAAACTACACAACAGAAGTTTCTAAAAGAACGGTGCTTCTTTCAACTCAGTGGAAAGAGGTAAAACCCAACGTAAGTGATGCTAATTGATTTTTATTTAGATAAATTCACAATTATCGTAGGTTAAAGAAACAGTTTTTTTTTTCACATACAAGGTTACGCATCAATGCAACAGCAACAACGAAAAGCTTTATTGGCATGATTGTAACAAATACAGTATTGCAAAAGCTATTCACAACTACTGACTATTGATGGGCCACCTGTGTTGTTTGAACGAGTGCTAACCCAATCCTGTTTCTCGAACTATAACCCGTACTGTAAATGACTTAATAAACGCCCACTTCCAAATAAACGCTTCTTATCTAATTAACGCCCCCTCTACGCTGTTAAAAATTTATTAGATGCTTCTATCAAATGGACGCCCCCTTTGAGAATTACTCCAAAATACCACGAATTAGCTAAAAGGAGCAAAATCATTCAATTTATTCAGTTTCTTGCTTGATTAACAAGGCTTTGCGTATTTTGTCTTGTTCAATGTTAACTTCAAAGTAATGATAGACTAACGATGGTAACAGAATAACCTTGAGCGAGGATTCTGACATAGATGTTGGAATTTAAAAGAGCGATATAGATCTCTATACGGTCTAGACGTATTAATTGATGGAGTGGATATTCCGCTAGTGGAAGCCAATTGGTTTGCTACCCAAACCGGAAAACAATGAATTGCCACTGTTTCAATAAACAAGTCGGGAAAGACCTTACGAGCAGCTCCTACATTTAAGAATTATACCTCGAGCCCGAGTGGGCTCTGAGTCAATAGCCCATGAGGCCTTCGGCCTCATGGGCTATTGACTCAGAGGCCATGAGGGCGAGAGGAATAGTTGTTTTAGTAAAATTCAACTAGTTGGTCAAAAATATCGAGAACAAAAAATTTTTAACTACTTAAAGATAGACTTTTGTCCCTTTTTGCCACCAAAAAGCCGGCGCTTTTCGCTACTAGTGGGCTATAACATATAGCCTAGTAGTAGCTCAACCAACCAGAACGCAGCATTGATAACAGACCACTAGTTGGATTTTACTAATACCGGATTTTTTGCCGAAAGCATATTAGTTCTGTGAATTTTGTTACAGTTATGAGAATAAACGCCTCTCTCTTTTAAACGCCTCCTGTCTTTTAAACGCCCCCGCTTGGACCCCTAAAATGAAATAGATACCCCAGACGTTTATTAGGTCATTTATGGCAATCTGGTGAACCGCAGCTATTTCAAATGTAATTGCTTAGTGGATAGGGAGTCTAAACAGTGCACTGCACGGCAAAACCTTTTTGTATCAATGACCATCATTTGAATTGCAAAAATGGCCCGGTTTTGTTGTTTAAGACCATATTGTGTTCCTGTCGTCTGTTACAACGGATGGTAAGGATGGACATGGATTGAAACCTGAAAAAGTTGGCCTCATGTTTTCCGAGGTCAGGTCCAAAACAGCTTAACAAAAACAAATAACAAAGGAGTCTAACGGGTTTCATAACCATATGCATTCCACTTTATCAACTATAGCTTAGAGCGATTTTCGTATGACCTTGAAATGAAATCGTGTGAACAAAACAGAAACAACAAACGAAGGGAAATAGAGCGATTTGATTGGTTTGTCGAACGGATACAAACGCGCGTCGCGTTGGGTTTGTTAAGCGAAAGCTCGGCTGAAAAAACTTCACGCCCGAAGAACTTTCTAGAAATCGCTTTGACGTCATACTGCGACACGATTGGCTAATCGAACAATGCCTTCTCCGTATTAGGGTTCTCTTTGGCGGGAAAACGAAGAGTCCATGTTTTGA